AAATTTTTAAAACAGAATGAGAACTATACTAGGAATTAGCAACTGTCGTAGGTATTTCAGACGTACAAACAAAAAAGCCACAGCAGATTTGAGTTTTGGCAAAAAATCAAAAAAATTTACAAATCCAAATTCATGCAAAATTTTTCCAATAAAAACTTACCATCAAACAAGTATGGATGGGCAACGCATTTGCGCAACTGCATCAAAATATTGAGCAATGACATCTTGTTGCCGGATGCCTGAGTTTTTCTTGCATCCATGCTTTCAAAAAACTCTGAAAACAAAAACGCTATAAAGAAAAGAACTTTTCTGTTCCTTTCTTTTTCTTTTATCTCAAAAAAGTCACCAAATCCAAAGAAAAAAGACGTAACAAACCGTAATTTTTGGTGAGTGTAGCAAGATAAAGATTTTTTTGGATTTCCGTTATTCGGTGATATATGATAAGTTCAGAACTATCAGGTATTCCAATACTGAGCATTTCCTTGGTTCGACGAAACATGTACTTGGAAAGCAACTGTTGCAGCTCGTCGGCAACTGAAAAAAACGCAAATTTTTGATCTTAAAGCTAATAGCTTTTAAACTTATCAGTGTTTTGGTACTTTAAAATAGGTCACAAAAAAAACATTACTTAACAATCCGTTGTATCGTATCCCCAGCCCCTCCCTCCCCCCTCCCCCGAAACTGCAAATGCGTTTGTACTGAGCAACCAACAATTTTAAGCAAAATGATACTACTTTTGATACAGTACCACCCATGGGATCAATTCCAAGAGCCTTCCTTGTTCAGACGAAGCGTAGAACAAAAAGGAAATCGATTTTTTCAAAAATCGATGAAATTTTTGAATTCAGAAACCTTTCCGATCGCCAGTATTCCGATACTTCGCAATAAATTGATCTTCGTTCTCCAGTGGAAAAATTTTGCTATCAATTAATGATAAAAGTGAGTAGAGCTCGTTAAGGTTGTTCTGAACAGGTGTTCCAGTCAAAAGTACAGTGAATTCGACATGCATCTGAAAAAAAAAACAAAGTAATTTGCTCATTCTCGTTATGAGGAAAAAAAAACGCCAAGATAAAAGCGTTACCCTTTTTATAACAAAATTACACATAAATGTGCCTAAAATTCTCCCCAGTATAGTCTTAATGTTTGGAAAATATTCATTACATACATTGGCGGGCACGAGAATTCCTTGTCACAATTTACTCAGTCTGTGTTTACAGCTAAGGAATAAAACGAAGACTGCTCTTCGGTATGTCCATCAGAATATGTGGTATTTTGGCGAATGGCTTATTTCCGATCCTAACATTTTACAATAAATTTCAGCACGAAGTATTTATCAAACATCTTGCTGCTTCCAAATTTTATTAAACTTAAGAAAACTTTCAAACGAGCACCGGGGGAAACCTGGAAGAAAATAAGACTTGGAGCATTGTAAATTTTTTTTTTAACTAAACCCATATGATGAACAAATAACACAAATACGCGATTGCGCGAAGCTTACATGGAAAAGATGAACTCGAAAATAAACAAAATGAAAACTTTACTAACAGAATTGAAGGGAAGATGGCCTAAATATGAAATACGGGAAGCAGATGCTATATACCGGGATTTTGTCCATGATTAATTAGGATTATTAGTGATTATTAAATTTTAATTTAGGATTATTGATTTTAATTTATTAATTTAGGATTATTTAGGATTAATTTAGGATTATTAAGATTATTAATTTAGGACTATTAATTTTTTCTATGATTAATTAGGATTATTAGTGGGCCGGCGACTCTCAGGCAATGCAGCCTTAGCGAAAGCAACTGGAACAGCTGCCCACTGCATAGACAGTGGACCGGGCTATGAATTGAATATGAAAAAAATAACTTGAAAAATTGAAAAACTAAAATAACTTGAAAAATTTGTAATTTGAAAGAGAATTTTTGTAGCTTGCAAATAAAAAAAACCTGAGATCCAAAAAAAAATTTTTTTTTTTTTGATGACTTACAGATTGTGAGTCATAAACCTCCTACTGTAATACAATGTTTTGAAAGTAGATTATTTCAAAAGCACACTAACTTTATGTATAATTTGATGTAGAATGGATTTTTTTGATTTCAAACGATGTGCTTCATCCACAAACACTGCGGACCAGATTCGCTTGAAATATTGCTCCTCACGGATTAGCATCTGGAAAGTATCTGATGAAAAAAAA